ACCACTCATGATTTCAGCAGGCAATTTGGAACTGTCACTGAGGGATCTCCAAGGTAATCTGGGTTGGCTGCCCATAAGCAGAGAGTGCTTACAGATAATCATCCTGCAAACAGAGGCGACCCTGGAGATTTCATAACATTTCTGAGCAATATCATGATTATATGGTACAAGGACAAAAGAAAACAGTGAAGCATGAGGAAGAGACAGTTCAGCTAAAGAGCAATAAGTTGCCAGCGACAGGTAATATACTACATCTAATAACATCTTTACATAAGACACTTAAAGCACTTAACTTAGATCATCATGGTGCTCAATGGAGGGGCAGGAGCTAAATCAGTAAAGTCAAGTGTCTGATCTTGACTTACAGAGAAGAGCAATGGCTTAGGTGGCTGAAGTTCTAAATTTTACAAGGGATCCCTTTAAACTTCCTTTAGACCACATTTTTAGTGTTGCTGCTGGCAAATTGGATTGACAGATTTCGGTCATTGCTTATCTTATTTCCACTGATGCCAGCAACATGGCAAATTACCCCAAATAGACTTCAGGGCAAAATCAGTGGACATTCCAAACTTGCAGATAATTCGATTCAATTTGACAAATACCTGTGGAACACAAACACAAAAACATGAAAAACCTATAAGCCTAAGTCCTTGGCTTTGTGGAATGAAAAAGGAAGTCACAAGGAGCCTTGATAACACTGAATGATTAATTTTACATCCATTGTCTCTATCCTCATTTTCCTAGGGATCAATTAAACCTGGAGGGGCCACAGAACAAGAATATTTTAAGAAAACCAGAACACAGGCAAATCCTAATATGCTAATAACCTGGTTACTAGATCTATGCACTGGACAACAAATATTTGAAAGTCACGAAGTACCAAGCCCTGTTTACGTGCAGGAGATAGATACAGCAGTCGTCAAGACAGTCTTTGCTCTCTCAAGGCCTACAGTAGTGGAAACACTTATTCTACTTAATCTACACCAAGGAGAAGGTAGAGTGACTCACACTTCACCTTGAAATGAGTACCTGTAAATAATGAAAAATTATTTCTCAGGAAACCAGATATCTGAGAGTATAAGATTAGCAACTTTATTTGGTTAAGAATGAAATGCAATGGAATTTGAAACTGGAAACAGTAATAGGGCAGAAAAAGATTGACATGCCCCAATTCCAAGAGCAGGGGAGGGGGTGGGGTGGGACGGGGGGGAGAGGGAAGGTGGCTGACAAAAAGCCTCACAGTGGTTTTTCCTCTGATGATACTCAAGTGATCTCAAAGCCGTGGTTTATGAAACAAAAGGACTCAGAGAATTCTTTTTCAGGTTCTCCAATTTCTACAGAGCTATGATTATTTCCTAAGCCACATGTGTCACAGAGCAAACCTCCTTATCCCATCAGGCCAGCCAGCGAGCTATCCACAAATATCCTAGGCAACCTACCAAGGCCATAGTCTGAGTCAGAAATGAGAGTTCCCTGGTATGTCACAGAAGCATGCTACCTATCTCATGAAACACATTTACACATGTATACATAGTGCACACACATTCACATATGCACCTATATGTATGTGTATGCACAAATGTATGTGTGTGTGCATATACGTGGATGGATGGATGTATGGGTATATGTAGGTATATGTATATACTGTGTATGGGCTTCCGTGATGGCTCAGTGGTAAAGAATCTGCCTGCAACTCAGGAGAACACGGGTTCGATCCCTGTGTCGGGAAGATCCTCTGGAAGAGGAAATGGCAATCCACTCCAGTATTCTTGCCTGAAAAATTCCACGGGCAGAAGAGCCTGGTGGGCTACAGTCCAAAGAGTCACAAAAAATCAGACATGTCTGAGCACACACATATACTGTGTATGCATGGATGAATGGGTGTATATATGTATACATGGGTGTAGACAGGTACATGAGGCTTCCCTGGTGGGTCAGCAGTAAAGAATCTACTAGTAATGCAGGAGATGAAGGTTCTATTCCTAGGTCAGGAAGATGCTCTGAAGAAAGACACAGCAACCCACTCTAGTGTTCTTGCCTGGGAAATCCCATGGACAGAGCAGCCTGGCGGGCTATTGTCCTTGAGGTCGCAAAGAGAAGGACATGATTTAATGACTATACCACCACCACCAGATAAGGAGATAGGTAGACAGCTCCTCTCTGGTGAACAAAAGAGAAGAGTACTAGGTCACAGTTCAAAACTTATTTGCCTGTTTTCCTGAGAGCCAAACATACTTTCCCACATGCCAAAAGGGCTTTCTCCCATTGGGTGGAGAAAAAAGTAAAGAACCCATATCTCTTACTCCACACTTAATGGATGACATCTGTATACCCTCCAACCTGCCCCCATCACAGACTGCCCTCTCCACATTTCATGGGTGACATCTGTATACACTCGAACCTGCCCCCATCACAGACTGCCTTCTCCCCAACTAAATAAAAGCTTTCCTAGTCTAGGGGATTGAAGCACACCAGATATATATTTTTTAAATTGGTTTCCTAAGGCAAATACTAAAAAGCATACATTATTTTTGTTTATAAAAATCATTTAGAAACTGGCAAAATTAATCTATCCTATTAGAAGTCACCTTTCATATGGGGATCCTGCTAGGAAAGTGATACAAAGCACTAGTAACGTTCTTATTGATCCAGATGCTGGTCACCTAGAAGTGTTCCCTTCACGAAGAATCAGCAAAGTGCACACTTATATTCACCACCGGCATATATATATATATATATATATATATATATATAGCATTTATATATATATATATATATAGCATTTTTTAAATTTAGCTTCCTAACAATTTGTGGTCTTTTATTAATTTATATTTACTCTTCCTGAGACATTCACAAATTATTCTGAAACATGGAATTTTACCTAACCAATTTGTAGATCAATATAAATTCATTAATTTTTCTAACCTTATTAGTCTTTCCTAATAAGTTATTCAAAACTACTTTTCAATCAATTATTGGGAAAAAATGACTTAATTATATGTAGAAAAGTACACTTTACCAAACCTCCAGGTTAGCAGTCCCCTGATGCAGAGGGACAGGAGAATGAAATCTGATTACTGCACGTCAAATTTTTAAAATATATTTCACAAATAAAATTTTAAATCCCTCTTGAGAAAACACAAATGATTATAACCCAAAGCCAAATGATACCACAGGATGCCATCACAGGATTCATGAGTCAAGTCTACTTTCATCTATATTTCTTCCCCTCAACTCAACTTGAAAACGGTAAGTAAAACTGATAATAACCAAAGAGAGAAATCTCATAAAGCAGAGGCATTTGCTGAGAGCAAATAAACTTGCAGAGGAGAAAATAAATCTCCAGCAACACAATCTAAGAGTGCCCTGACCTCTTCTCCTCTGTGCTGTTACTCACCTCCCTCTTATCAAAGTAAAGCAGACCTGTACCCCTTTATTCCCTGAGGACAAGAGATACCAAAGTAGTTTCTGTTAGCTAAAGGATTGGACCACTGTCTCAACCAGGGCCTCTTACATATGAGCATGCTGAGTCTATCTGAAAATTTAATCAAAGCAATATATTTTATTCCTTGTAGAATGAGTAATCCCAAAATAGATTTTTAATTTACATATTGAAATGTTAGGACATTTAAGTAATCAAATATTTAAGACATAAAAAGTAAGAGAGCTTTCTTTTCCCTATTTGCTTGAAGACTGGTGAGAAAGGAAAAAATCCTTCTTTAAAAAGATAACATGTTGATGGCTGAATGCTATCAACTACAAATGACAAATGTCTCTTCATAGACATTGGATTTTCAATGCAGTTCTCAGTCCATCTCCTCCCATCTGTTCTCCTCTTCCTGTGGAGGTCTAAGCCTGGGGAGGAGTTCCAACAATTCCAGGCAGTGAGTAGGAAGGGGGCACTGTGACAGGATGACAGGCGGCTACATACAGATGCCTCTGGGCCTGGATCTCGGGGCCCCTGCATTTCGTTCACACCTATGGAGTCCTCCATCTCTCCACTATGCACTATAGCAGGTTGCTGTATAACCTCTCAAGCTTCATTTCCTTCAAATCTAAAATAGACACAAATGTGTGCCTACCTCCTAGTGCAGTTGTGACAAATAGATGGCATCAGGCACATAAAGCAATTAGCACTGTGCCTGGCACACACACATAGCACATAGGCAACAATTTGTAACTAAGTCTGTAGTAATAAAAACTTTTCATCTAGAAGACTTTACAGTATCACTTGACAAATATAGACTACTGTGCCAAAAAGAAAATTATCTTTTAAAAGACTGAATGGAGCCCAGCTTCTTGACAGATGACTGAGTCTCTGAATTCAGAACAAATATATTATTATAAACAGCTTCAAAAAAGACCACGGACTTTGGAGGGACAATGTACAAGACACACTCTGTGAGCCTCAGTCTCCTCACCCATAAAATGGGAATAAGTCCTTTATCATCAGGCAATACCGAGGTTTTAGATGTTATCTGCAAAAGGCCTAACATATCTTACCCAATAGCAGATAATGATTTTAAAGCAGATGGTGTAAGAAAAGTCATCAGAGGGATTATTCAAAGCTGGAAAAAAAATTTTAAGAGAAAACTTTCCATCATCTGTACTTTATTTTTCTTTGTAGCATTCTTACACTTTATTTCTCTTCTAAACAAATGTGTTCCACTTAACCTTACAGAAGTTGATTTCCTTTGATTTATCTCTCTATCTTCTTCCAGTCCCTCCATCACCTTTCAAGTACCTACCAGAGTCTTGTCCAAAGACAGATAATAAATTGACACCTGAAAAGTCCAACTGCAGGACAATTTTTACATCACTACAATTCAGACTGAGGAAAGTGACTCCCTCCTCTGTAAGGAGGAAGAGAAGAATAGAAATGTTCCTGGACCACCAATTACTTCTTTAACCATCAATGGGAGAAATTTCAGAAACAATATTTTGCTTAGCTTTCTTCATTCCCTACCAAGATAAGAGTGACATCTGAGAATAAGGCTTACCTATTTGCACCATTTCTTCATTACCAGCCTGGAAAGGAGGGGGAAAGTAAGAAAAAGAAACAGTTACTGGGTTTCATCTTATCACCTCATGCGTTTTATTTCTACCATTAATGCTTTTCAGGAGCTGACTAATCAGGCGACGCGGAGACTGGGATTGGTGCCTAACCGCTGCACCCCGGTTTGTAGACGGTTCCTGTGACGGGGAGCACAAGCCAGTGCAACAGCAATTTGGGACAGGGTGTCGGTTGCTCGTTTTAACTTTTAACATTTCCGAAGCCAGCAAAAATACATCCTGACACTCAATATTCTCTTCGGAAAACTCCAGATATTGGGTCAGGGGTAGAAGAGCAAGTCTCCGAATGTATACGTGTAAAACAGAAGTCTAAATCCTGATTGATCAGATTTGAGGTCAGGCAGCAACTAGAACGAGTCTCTTACTTTTTCACCCTATGGTCAGACCAAGCAGACCAAGAGACGCTACAAAAACTCACGGAGAAATTCTGTGCCCGGAGCCCCAGCGGCCCTGCGCTGCTGTGATTGACTACTCAGGGCTCGGCTCGTCCCGCCGAGCCTTCTCAGGGACTCTTCTGAGAGCATCGGGCTTCACCTTGAGGCTTCAAGGGTGGGGGCTGGGCCGAAAAGAAACAGAACAGCTCTCAACTTCGCTTTAAAAAGAGGAGGAGTTGTGCAGAGGGGGAGGGGAGAAGAGCGGCCGGCGCCTCCAGCCTCTCTGCCCAGGAAAACGCAGGGCAGGAAACGTCCCCGGGGGCCCCCCCTCCCCAACTGTCAAACCCCAGCCCGGCCGCGGTACTCCCAGGACACGTGTCTACTGGATCGCTCCCTGTCCGGCCCAAGGACTTCCTGAAACCCCCGCCTCCGGCTGCCCGAAAAAAGCTGTGAGTCAGTGAGCAGGAGAGAAAGCCCCGCGAACTCGACTCCGGCTGCTGTAGTCGGAGCCCTGGCATCCTGGACCCAGCGTCCAGAACTTCATTCAAGCGCCCACACCGCCCTCGGAAAGGGGAAACCCAGATGGCCCGGCGAGGATGCGAATTGGCTGCAATCGGGTCACCGGGAATTGTTCCGAATGCCGCAAAGTGAAGCCCGAGGGGTGACAAGCCTGGGCTCCCGTGCAATGTAACCCCCTCCACCACCCCCCCCAAAGCCCCGCACGCGGCGCCCAGCCCTCGAAAACACCGACCGTGGAGGCACCAGATAACAGGGGAAGGCTGGGAGGGGGGAGGAGAGAGAGGAGGGGAAAGAGGGGGAGGAACTGTTTCGGGGAAAAGGTTGGGTTTGAGTATTTTATTGTTATTATTTTCCACTTACTTGTCCATCAGCTGAAGTCTTAACCTCTACCAGAGCGGCTGCTATCAACCAAAGTGACAGGAGAACCATCACGAGTCGAGTTCACTTTTCAACCGCTGGGCAAAGCAAATGCCCAGAGCAAAACCTTCCCCCCACCCCCCAAAGTAAGTTTCTTGGAAAAAAGGAAAAAAAAAAAAATGCAGAATTAAAAAAAAAAAAAAAAAAAACCTGATCTTCCGTGCTTGGCTTCAATGAAAATGAAATCTGAGCTCTGAGCCTGGCCCCCTCGGCGCTGCAGTTCTTTCCACTTCACCTTCTCACCCCGTCCTCCCAAACAGAGTGTTCAGGACAGAAGGTGCTGCGAGCCGGGCACGGGCTGCGCCGGCAGAGGTGGGCGGGAGGGACGAGGGGCTTCCAACTATCTCTGTCCGCAGCGGCTTTTTTTCTAGGCTTTTCGCGCACCGTGGGTCCCTAAGGTGAGCGCTGAGAATGCTTGGGTCCCCGGGAGCACGGCAGGGGGAAGTATTAGCGAGAGAGACGGGCGAGCGAGCGGGAGCGGGAGAAAGAGCCAGGCGCCTCCGCGGCTCGCTCCGAGGTGGGGGCGGGAGGAGCCGGAGGGGAGGAGGCAAGCGGAGGAGTGGGAGGAGTGGGCCGCTCGCCGGCTCCTGTGGCTCGCCGAGCGGTCGTCTGCTCGCTGCCGGCGACCCGCGGGGCGCTATAAGTCGGCCGGAGACCCCCCCGCCCCGCCTCGACCCGCGCCCGGGCGGCCCCTCCCGCCGCGGCGCCCACGTCACGCGGGGCCCGGGCCCGCGCCCCCCGCGCGCCCGCCGGGGCGGCCCGGGGCGGGCGCTGCAGGCGCGGGAGGCGCGGGGAGGCGTGGGGAGGACGGCCGGTGCCCGCGGCCGGCCCCGGGCAGGATCGGGCTTTGAAGCCGCACGGGGGGGCACGGGGAGTGGTTTGAGTGCCCGGGGTTCACCGCCCGCACCCCTCCCCATCCCGGGATCTTCTCCTTCCCCGCGACGGGGCGGAGGAGAGGTGGCGATCCCAGGGGAGCCGCGGGCCCCGCCTGGAGGGACCGGCTTTGAGTTCATTCTAGGAATCGGGAGGATCCGAGGGTCGGTCTGGGCTTTAGGAAATTCACCTCCGGCTACCCTGCCTGCTCTCCCAGCCGGGTCTCCCGGGGAGAACCCGCCCCCCACCCCCGCCCCGAACCTCCAGGTTCTCAGGATTCAGTCGTCTCCCCTCCGCACACCAGCCCCCTACCACGTTTTGGGGGGATGGCTCCGGCCCCCGTTCAGGTCTTGTTTACGCCTTATTAGTTTGTATTAGTTTTAAACGTTGCCATGTCTCTTCCTTGAGTCACCCGGGTGCTTCCGTTTATCACTGGAGTACACAGGCCTAGGCGTGTCTTCCTCTCACCAAGATTAGGTTATCAAATGATTTCTGCCCTTTGTGGCCCGGACCTTTCTGGGAGGAGAGAGCGCCAATCTGGGCTCCAGAGACTTGAGAAATCCAGGGACAGGCCCTAGGAATCCTAGGGCAGACTCTCGGGGGCGCTTTCCAGGGAGCAAGAGAGGTGGAAAAGGAAGTATTTCCAACTGCTACTGACCGATTTCTGACACTCCCTCCCCAGCTCAGACCATGAGAGAAGAATGAATAGGCACAAATTTAGGTATAATTTTCAAAACTTCCACTGAAAGGAGTCTCACAGAAACCTGTCTAAAATAACATGTGTAGAAGTTACTGGGTGTTTTGTTAAGGAATGCTTCGATAAGTCATAGTTCCTTTTCTTTTCAGAAAACATGCTGTGCGTTTAGAGGGAATACTTCAAATTCATTATTTAAAGGTTGCATCTGTAGCTTACACATGGCAGGGTTTGTGTTCACTGCTGTGTTATCTACTAAGTCTTCTCAGTATCATGGATACAGGACACTTTGGTTCAAGTGAGAAACCAAACAACTGAATGGCCCCACCAGTAACGGGTTAACAAGTTAGTGATTAGCTTTGAGTTATATTAGACTGCAGCACTGAAGTATCTCTAAATTACTTTTTTCCTTCAATTAAAGCATTAAGCATTTTTGTAACCTATCATTGATTTACTGTCTGGGAATGATTTGCTGAATCCTGTGCCTATTTTTATTACTTATTAAAAAGAATCTCATGTTCTATGCATAAAAATTATTTCAATTTACGCCGACAAGTGGGGCTTCCCTAGTAGCTTAGCAGTAAAGAATCCACCTGCAATGCCAGAGACCCAGGAGACATGAGTTCGATCCCTGGGTTGGGAACATCCCCTGAAGGAGGAAATGGCAACCCACTCCAGTATTCTTGCCAGGAAAATCCCGTGGACAGAGGAGCCTGGTTGGCTATAGTCCACGAGGTTGCAAAGAGTCAGATACAACTGAGCACGTGGGAATACACACACACACCCCCACACCCACACCCACCCCACACACATATACTGACAAGTAAAAGAATATTAGTGTACAAATCAGAATCTCTGTGTTCTAGGCCCAGCTAACAGCTGTCTGACCTTGACAAATCACTAAAACTCTATTTTGGTTTTCCCTCTATGAGATAATTCAGCTCTAAAATTATCTAATTTTAAGTAATAACTAGTTTTTTAGTTAGCCATGGGATTACAGTTAATTTCATAGTTAATTTCATACAATTCAAGCATTTGTTATCATCATAATTCCTGCATAACAAGCAATTCATGCAACTTTCATAAAAGGAATGGCTTTAGATGGTCTTGGCCATGACCATGGAAAGACATATATTCTACACTGCGCCCCAGTAAAAATTTTCATGACTCAGTGCTTACTACATGCAACCCTGGTATTTCTATCCTGTTTGATTTGCTTTGTTTCCCACATACTGCTTAGGATCCACTTCATTGTTTTCACAACCCAATGAGTTCATGACCCTCATTCTGACAAACATTAATTTGAGAGTATATAATAAGGTTTATATTTCTTGGATCCTAAATAGGTTGAGTTCTTATTAATAAGTTTCTTCCAATATACAAAGTTTCCCAAAGTATGTCCTGGAATGTTAAATGTTTTACAAAAAAAAAAAAAAGAATTCTCTGAAAGTTTGTAAAATGCTCATATGAAGAAAATGAAATGGGTTTCTTTGTTTCAGAAATACATAGGGACTTTAATATCCTAAGCGCACTGAGCGTCTTCAAGACAGAGGGAGTGTGCTCTGGTCCTCTTACTGACGTAATCACAGAATGCTTTTTCCTCATGCTTTGTCCTCCGAGGAACTCACTTGCAGAAATATCATCACAAAGACCAATTACTAAAGTGAACTTTGAAATAGGTAGGATTCACATACAGATTCCATTTTAGTGTTCTCAACTCTAAAACCAGTTTACTAATACTGCTTTTGCAAACTTCATGAAAATTAGCCTAATCTTGCATGTAAACTGTCGAGCACATGGTCTAGAACATTAGTAAGGACTTAAATGAAGAATTGTTCAGGTGAATCTGTATGGTCTACATATAGAAAGCTTAGTGATAATGAAATATGGCAAGTTCTAAGTAGAAAAATATAAACAGCTAAAAGATTATGAACTTTTAAGTTTACCAGAGATATCGTTAGGAATAAAAGGCAAAGAAGTTATTGAGTTCCTGTCACAAACTGACCCCTGCCTGCCTGCCTCGCATCAAATCTCTGCCCTTCCTTGCATGTCTTTGCCCTCAGCAGCAGTGCTTTTCCCCCCACGTGCCACATCGCACGTACACACACTTGCTCATATTGATTTTTCAGTTTTAAGACCCTTCCCCTTCCTGTCCACAAGTCAAAGAAAGGCACGTTACAGGAGATGCTAATATGTGCTCCATAAAATACTAAAGCAATACTTATGAGTATGTTTTCTTCCAAAATATGCTTTTGTAAATCATTTTACTTATTTAATTTTGGCTGTGCTGGATCTTCCTTGCTGCACAGGAGACGTTTCTCTTGTTGCGGTAGCAGGCTTCTCACTGTAGAGGCTTCTCTTGTTGCGAAGGACAGACTCTAGCGAGCACGGGCTCCAGTAACCACAGCACGTGGGCTCGGCAGTTGTGGCTCTCAGGTTCTGGAGAGCAGGCTCAATAGCTGTGGTGAATGGGCTTAGTTGCTTCCCGGTATGTGAGATCTTCCTGGCTCAGGGATCAAACCCATGTCTCCTGCATTGGCATGTGCATTCTTTACCACTCAGGCAACAGGGAAACCCTCAAAATATGTTTTAAGTAAAAAAGTAATTTCAAAAGTAATTGTGTGTATGTAGTTTCCCTAATTGTGAAGTCATCCTTTTTAGGACTTAAGTTTCATGAAATCAGTTGATATATGGATATTTTAACCTGTTCATTCTTATATTGGCAACAGATAACTAAACAGAGAGTTGTGTGTGTGTATTTTCTGATGCTGACAAGTCAGTGTTGTCTATCTTTTCATAACTTAGCATTTTAATACCTAATGTTTACTGTATATTAAACATAAAATTAAAAATTTTGTTATTTCTTACAGTGAATAATTCTTTTATAGGTTTGCTATTTCTGCTGTTTATCTTTCCCACACTTTTTTGTTTTTGAGAGACTTTTTAGAGCAGTTTAAAGTTCACAGCAGAATTGAGGGGGAAGTACAACGATTTCCCATACCCTCCCTGCCTCTGAACTGCATAGCTTACCATGTTGTCAACATCCCCAAAAATGTAACAAAAGAGTAGTAACATTTGTTAATACTGATGAACCTGCATTGACACATCATAATCACCCAAAGTCTACAGCATACATTAAGGTTCACCTTTATCTTTGTACACTGTATGTATCTGGACAAATATATAATGACACGTATCTATCATTATAATATTATAGAGTATTTTCACTACCCTAAAAATCTTCTATCCTCCACCAATTCGTCCCTCCTACCCCTGGCAACCACTGATCTCTTTTACAGTCTCCATAGTTTTCCTCTTCCAGAATGTCATATAGTTGAGATCATACAGTGTGGAACTTTTTCAGACTGGTTTCTTCCACTTAGCAATATATATTAATTTTCCTCCATGTCTTTTCATGATTTGATAGCTTATTTGTTTTTAGCACTGAATAATATTCCATTGTCTGAATGTACTGCCATAATTTATCTATTCAACTACTGAAGGACATCTTGGTTGCTTCCAAATCTTGTCAATTATTAATAAAATGGCTAAAAACATCCATGTACTGGTTTTCATGTGGACATAAATTTTCTACTCCTTTGGATCAATACCAAGGAGCATGATCACGGCATCATATACTAAGAGTATTTTTATTAGTTTTGTAATGTACTGCCAAACTATCTTCCAAAGTGGCAATGCCATTTTGCATTCTCACCAGCAATAAATGAGAGTCCCTATTTGTACTGCATCTCACCAGCATCTGGTGCATCTCTGTTCCATATTTCGGCCATTGTAATAGGTGCGTAGTGGTATCTCATTGTTTTAATCTATATTCCCCTGATGACATATGAAAAAGAACATCTTTTCACATGCTTATTTGCCATCTGTATATTTTCTTTGTGAGGTGTCTGTTAAAAGTTTTGGGGCCATTTTTACATAGAGTTTTTTGTTTTCTTATTGCATTTTTAAAAGTTCTTTGTATATTTTAGATAGCAGTCCTTTATCTTTATTTTTGCACAGAAAAAGACTTTTGCAAATATTTCCTCTAAGTCTGTGGCTTGTCTTGTCATCCTTTTGACCTTGAGTTTCACAGAGCAGAAGTTTTTAATTTTAATGAAGTACTTTCCCACACTTTTAATATATTTAATGACCTTCTGGCAATATTGATTAAATAGATTATAATTTTTAATTTTTTCATATAGTCAAATAAATATGAGAAACTCACTACTTAACTTTGTTCCAAATATAAGTACATAACTTTACTACATCATAACTGACTAGATTTATATCCACCTTTCTCTCTAAACTGCAAGATCGTTGAGGGCATTGACCTCTGCTTTATTCACTCTCAATTACAAGTTTCTGGCACATTTCCATCCCACAGAAGTTGCAGAGTGCTTTAACTACTATACCCCAAGCAAGTCTGGGGAAAATCATGCCCTTTTTTCCCAATCTAGTGTTAAGTTGGAGGAGACTCTTGAGAGTCCCTTGGACTGCAAGGAGATCCAACCAGTCCATCCTAAAGGAAATCAGTCCTGAATATTCATTGGAAGGACAGATGCTGAAGCTGAAACTCCAATACTTTGGGTACTTATGCGAAGAACCAACTCATTTGAAAAGACCCCGATGCTGGGAAAGATTGAAGGTGGGAGGAAAAGGGGATGACAGAGGATGAGATGGTTGG